CAGTGTAAATTTTCTTTTGTGACACCCTGTATATCTGGAGTTTTATAGGCATATTATGATTTTATTTCGATACATCAAATTTTAGCGCTTTGGCTACATTAAGGTAATTCCCTTCAGCCGTTAGGCGGTTAGTTGCGCAACCATCTGGAAACACCGAGCAGCACTCAAACCTTTTTTTTGGCCAAATCAATTTTCATCCGTTTTCATCGCCCCCGTGAAAACTATGGAGGAAGAGATTAGTTAAGTGGAAACTTCTTAAAGCACCGCTGTGCCTTCTCGAGGAAAAAAGCTTGGAGTACAAGAAGAAATACAGCGATGTCTGGAGATACACACTTACCATGACTAACAATATTTCGTGAAAAGTGCCGTGCATGAAATATTATACCCCTGTCAGACGGGCTAGATTAGTGTCACTACAAGCGAGTGCACTTCAACCCGTCGAAACACACTCCATGTGTGTTGGTGCTACACGAGAAAACTTAGTGTCACTCCAAAATGACAGCAATAACGATGGGTAAGTAATGAGCACGCAACATATTACAGTGCATACGCATTTTTTCATAAATAATTTCGTTGTCTTATTAGAAACACGTTACCACACATTGTTGCGCTAAGTCACGAGTTTTAATCCAAATTTAAATCCAATTTCATCATTACGATCAGCCATTACAAGCCAGTGATACACGTCCGCACGCCGGTACGATACTCTGTTTCACCTTATGATGTACCGCAGAAAAGGCTACAAGCGCGAGCACCTTGCTCTAGGGCACATCAAGGCGGCACAAGCTCTCGTGCGTTAAGAGTAGCTCCCAACGCTATGAGCTCGCGCACCTAGCCTAGTCTGGGGTACAACATAAGGTGAAACGGAGTACAGATCGAAACGAGCAGAAGTAGGGATTGAACCCAGGATTCCTGGGTTCTGCAGCGCGAGCCTTCGCTCCGCGTGCTCCGAGCTGGTGTGCGCGAGCCCACTCGGCCACTCGCCACTCGCCACAATGAAACATCATGGAGTGTGTGGGGGACGAGCTGGAGGGCAATATCCGCGATGTTGGACAGTGGAAACGCATGTTTGGGGCACTTTTCTCTGTGAGAGCCCAACGCCTTTCAGATAAGAGGCAGCTGGACCTGGGTGCCGACGCACAGGCAAGAATTTCAAGTAACATCGATCAGCAGCTGCAGGCCAATGCCTTCACCATAGCCACTCTCATGACCGACAACCTACCGGTGATCAGTCGACAACGGTGGACTTTCCAGAGGAACGAACGGTGGTTCGAAGACATTTTGCCCCATTTGGGCGAGTTCTACTTCAAGCAAGCCTTTCGCGTCTCTCCTGCCACCTTCAGATTCCTGGTGGAGTCGTGCAGGTGCCTCCTGGCCTTCGTCGGCCGTCGCGCAGGGGCCAAGGCTGGAAACTAGATTAGCCGCTTGTTTTTCTACAATGCACTACTTTCCTGACAACAGAAAACAAGTGCGCATCTAATATTAGTCCTATCAAAATAATACTAATTTTACGGAGCGTAAATTTCTTCTTTTATTTTAACTCATTGAACACTGCTATCGAGATTACCCACTTGGTCTGCCGGAGCGAGCGTAGTGTGCTCCCCGAACTCACTTCATTGGAAGTGTGTTCTTCGGGCAGGGCTGAGGTCAGGATCACTGGCTTCTCCTTCTCCAGCGCGAGCTTCCCCTCCACGTACTCCGATCAGGTGGGCGCTAGCCCACTCGGCTTCGATACCCCTTAATAAAGACACGTTAAAAAAAATTTACGTTTACAATTCTCTGAAATGCCGAATTGGAGTGAAGCTCTTGAGGAGGAGGGAGGAAGGGTACGAAGGGGAGGGTATGCCAGCTGCTCCCCCTCCGTACCCTCCCATCCTCCTCTCCTGTTCCCATCCCACTTAGCGTAAAAATTTCGCTAAATTTCCCGCTAAATTTAGTGGGGAAATTTTCCCGCTGAATTGACGTGTGACATCACATGACACGTCATCTGAAATTTTAAGTGCGACTTCACGTGACGTCACACGGGTAAAATGTTTCCTCTAAATTTAGTGGAAAAATTTTCCGCCAAACTTAGCAAAAAATTTTACCGCAAATTTCAGCGGGAAAATTTTAGATGACAGGACATCTGAAATTTTAATTGTGACGTCACACGGGTAAAATTTTCCCTCTAAATTTAGCGGAAAAAATTTCCGCCAAACTTAGCAAAAACTTTTACCGTAAATTTTAGCGGGAAAATTTTACCCTCGTGACGTCACACGAGACGACACGCGTGACGTCACGTGTGACGTCATTTTGGGAAACAGCCCTTAATGCAACGCGTGGTTACGCCGACGCCGCTCAACCCAGAAATGGGTGCCTAGGAGCTGTGCACTAAAACAACGTTACATTAATGAACGATTTTTATGCAAATTGGATGATTCTGATCGATCATCGCAAGCCAAGATAAAGAACGAAGCATATCCAACTTTGGCGTTCCGCTTCGTTCCACGCAAGTCTACGAGGAGGCCCTGACACTGCCTAATCAGATCATAATTATCGTGTTGTCTCGAATAGTTACATGCTGAAACAAAAGTAGGCTCTATCATTCGCTGCGAACCAAGATAGCCATGAATGACTGACTTTGTCGTCGTCTTTTATCAATTCAGCGCTCCGCTAATCTTGATTCAGATCAGCCTAAACTCCAAGTCCACCCCACTATTTTGTTTTTGAAATGCCACTGTTTTACTTGTCGTCGCTTTCACGAATTTCTTTTTCTTTATAAAATAAAACTTAGGCCACGCTTTTGGTTTCTGTGTTGTTATGTTTTACTGTTGAAACACTCCAACTGATTCCACGCGCTCGATCGAGCGAAGTGAGTTCGTCAAACTCACTCCAAGCGAAGTGTGTTCCTCAGGAAGGAGCCGTGTGGCACACTACAGAAATGACACTAAGGGCGAAGTGCACTCGCTTGTAGTGACACTAAACTAGCCCGTCTGACAGGGGTATTAGTCTGTCATGTTACTTGCGTTCGAGTTTTAGAACTCTCGCTTGTGTTACACCTTTTGTTTTGAACCGACTAGTATAAAAGCGCTCTTAAGTTATGAAGGAGCACTATGTTCTCATGGCGTGCATAAAACATCCAGATCGAAGATAGGGTTTCATTCGTCAGTTTGAATCTCCCACGGTAACACTTCCTCTCGACAGATTTGCGTTGGCCACGCTTCTGGCCCGATAAACTCATTTTCGCGAAACGTATGCGAGGCGTAAAGGCTACATAATGTATCTCTCATCGTATAAATGAAAGTAATGCAAAAAAACAATGAATATGTAATATTATGTAATTTTTCGGGCAAGCAAGGGAAATTTCGGCAGAGATAGGAAATTTTCAGGCGTTCGCTAGGCAAATTCTGACTTTCTCTGTTGGCAGCCCTGCATGGTTAACTGGACGCCCGCGAAGCCCTCCTCACGCCACGTATCGCGGTGACCTCGGTGACCTTCCCATACGGCTCGAGCACTCGGCGAACAGCCTCGTCGCTGACGTGGAAAGGCAACCAGTGCAACTGTAGACTTACAGTCTTGCAGATACTAAAGCGCCCCACGCGTGCGGGCGTTTATATCTGAGAAGCGCTCGACAGGCGGCTTACGTTCGAACTAGCGCTGACGTCAGGACTCGTCCACATCAGATAGGGGGGAGCCCATCAACGCGAACTGCCCTCATCACCTGCCATTTCGAGAATCTTCTCGCCCTTTCGATCAGGCCACGGTGACACAGGCGCAGATGATAACGGCTGTTCGCGTTGATATATGCTCCCCCCCAAACTGCTCCAGGTGGACCAGTCCTGACGTCAGCGCTAGTTCGAACGTAAGCTACCTGTCCAGCACTCCTCAGAAATAAACGCCCGCTCGCGTGGAGCTATTTAGTACCTGCACGACTGCACCTCGCCGTCGTTGGGATCCTGCACGAGACACCTCTTTCCCTTCACCCGCAGCTCCTCGGCCTCCAAATGCTTTCGCTGAGCCTCCGACGATTCGAACGTGAACAGCCACACGTGGTTCATTTGATACGCCCCTCCCGCTTTCAGGGCGGGAAGGATCGACGCTCGAGCGGTGCAGTTCGTCCCTGAAATCTTCTATCTTGTCCGGGAGCCCAGTGATATCGGTGTGCAAAATGACCGACGTTTACAATTCTCTGTATTGCCGAATTAAGGCCCATTCACACTTTTGCAACCGAGTACGACCGAGAGAGACGAGGTCTGTTAAAACTTCTTAGGGCGAAGGAACACACTGGCATTCTGGCGCCATCTATGCGATGACCATGGAACTGCATTTCACAAGAGCGAAGGTTTCGCGAGATTTCCGAGGTCGAACGTGCGTAGTAGCTATAAGAAAGGCTCGTTTATAACGCTGACAAAAGTTTTTCGAACCAAGAAAGAAAGGATAATGCGCGAGGGAAATAGAAAATATGCCGGACCGCCAAGTTTACACTGCTACCCAATAGATGGCGCCAGTGTGTCCTCTCGTTGTAAGAGGTTTTATAGAACCCAGTTTTAAGAAGTCGGAAGAGTGTGAACAGGCCTTTAGAGCGCAGCTCTTGAGGAGAATGAGGGGTGGGTATGCCCGTGTGATGTCACCAGGGGGACTTCCCTCGTGACGTCACTGGATACCCTCGTGACGTCATTCGTGGCCCTCGTGATGTCACTGGTGGCCCTCGTGATGCCACGCGGTTACGCCGACGGCGACGCCGCTCAACCCTGAAACGGGCGCCTAGGAGCTGCGCGCTCTAAAACACAATGCCCGAGGGCAGGGGAGGCAGAACAATGCGGTAGGTATCCTGAGATGACACACATGACAAATGCCACGGCCTACGACGGCCGCTGTCGCCACTCCTACGGCGCTTGTCATCGCACGCCCGTCTCGTTCGAGCGCCGGAAGTAAAGTCGGAGCCACCGAGAGCGGCGACGGCACTCTGGAAAAGGTAATTCATCGCGGCACATTTTTAGTAAAGCAACGGGAGTCGCTGGTGAATCCACATTCCAAGAATATATATTTTTTTATTAAATACAAAACGACACCAAAATCAAGCGAAGTTCTAGCAAGCAAGTTGCTCACACTTGTCGCACGGGATAAAGCTCGCGAAGAGGGCGGGTGTATAGAGATCACATTCTTAAGCTCGCGAGCAAATTGATAGCCAATATATAGTGACTAAACACTCGTAGAGCAACACATTTGGGCAAGATTAAAGATAGTCACTTTTACTCCACTTAAACCTAAGAGTAGGCCACTATAAAAGAAATACAGAAATGCTTAGACTACTGATTATAAAATACGGAACAAGTTAAAAGAACAATTTGAAAGGATAAATACCGTAGAAACATCAATAAAATAATATGTATAAAAAGGCTCATAAAGTGGCCCGCGAGAGAGATATTGGTAACTAAACAGGATGAAAACTGTACATACAAACACTCTCATGTGGGCAAGACGCTCAAGTTAATAAAAGCTAAAAAAAACACTTTGGCATGAACGTACTCCAGACAAGGCCGCGAGCACATGCAGCATAACATACTAGTGAAACGCGACAAGAGCGCGACAAGAGCCTAACATAAGGAAGAACATCTTGTAAAGTGAGCTGCACAGATTAGCCATGGAACATTTATATAAAAATAGAACTTGACACGAATAAAAAAAACAGAAAAAACGTTAGGGATCTTTTCACTAGACGATCAATACGGCAGCAGTGAGTGGGTAACCGAAACTACACATGCGACGACTTCGAAAGGATCTGAGCGCCTAACAACGTCCGGCGCATCCACATCTTCATATAGTGCAAAAGAAACAAATAAGCGCCACCAAAAAAGAAAAATAACTTGGCGATTGGTTTTAAAAGGCATTATGCGCCGCGACCATGAGGGTGCCCCAATCCCGAGCACACTCCCTGAACGCCGAAGTGCGGCGATGGGTTCTTCGCACGGCCCCTTGGGAGAAATGCGTAGTGCGAGCCATATGCTCACTGCCGAGCCCCCAAGGCGTCAACCAGATATACTCACTGACAGGATAAGAACGGCAGGGCTCGTTCCTGAAACCCGCAACCCTCCAGCACGCCCTTCATGCCTCGCAACTTGCTTCGGTTGCGCACCAGCGCTACAGGTGCGCGAGACACCCGAGCGTTGTCGCAAGTAGGAAACTACGGTAACGGTTCCAAATTTCTAGGTTAGTCCAACAGCACACCCGGGGTGCCGTTAGCCATGTCGGCGGCCTAAGCGGTATTCAGCCGCTTTCACTTCGGCAATGCAATGTATACCCGCCCGGTATAGTTCCCCCGCTCATCCCGGAGACACCTTCCCGATCACGTGAGCAAGCAGCCTCCAGCCTCGTCGCTGCAACGAACCCGCACATCTCACCGCCGCTTAAAACGGAGGCATTTCAAACTCGCGGGACACCGGCTGGTCGGGCTCGTCTCCATCCCCACAGCGCGCGATCTTGAGAAAAGGTCGCGGCCTCTAGGCGGCGGCGTCCAGCAGGCCGGAGTCGAGGCCGGCGCCCTCGCGCGGGCCTCGCGAGGCCTCGGGGTCCAAGGGCCGGTACACGTCCGCGAAGACGCTGCGCAGCTGCACCGTGCTGTAGCCGTTCCGGGCCAGGAACCGCTTGGCCACCTGCTGGATGTGGCGGCAGGTCCGCTCCGTCTCCGGCGACGTCACGCAGCGCGATTCTGCGCAGGAGAGAGCCACGTGATCACCGAGAACCCAAACTCGAGCGGAAACATTACGGTGCGAGTTCGTCCGTTCCTTGCGCACCACGTGCGTTTGTTTATACCCTCCAAGCGCGCAGAGGTGCTTTGGTTCCCGCTCCACGTCAACCAATGACAGAGGCACGCTGGGCTGCCTCGTCATCCCGCAATCTTTGTATGGCCCTTCTACTGGCCGGTTCCTCGCGTTCCGATGCGCCAAAGACGAGTTTTCCAACAGCTGCTCCGCGTACGAGCTAAGAGCGCATGCGCCGAGAACCCGAGCGAGAGGAGACCAGAACGCGCGGTGATGTCAGGACGCCAAGCTCTGGTTCCGATGACTACTGCATAGACCTGGATTCCCAGAACGCTTTAGAATGCCGGCGTCCGGCTCTCGCATTCTAATGTCCCAGCGCACTCTGGTTTTCCTCCTCCGCCTCAATTTCTCGGAGCATGAACGCCTTATATCGTTTATGAAAGTTTATCGGAGAAATCGTTTGTGTGAGATCATCTGGCGGGCTAGTTGGTTGCACATATTTTCACGTACAACCAACTAACCCGCGCTGTACAATGTACAATAGCGGAGTAAAAATTAAAAAAAAAAGAAGTAACGTAACACTTACAGTATTGCGGTTTGTGCAGATGCCTAAATTGCGTTGTAGGTTTTTGATTACCTCAAACACATAACTAGCTGTCTAGCTGCGAATAGAAACAACAGGCCGAGCAACAGAATGCTGAACTCCTTCAACGACTGTCTTAGGTATTGAGTCGAAGGTAAACCAAATATATATTTCATAAAAATAATGTTAGAAAAGAATTATGTTAACCACCTAAATTAATGTTGCATATAAGTTTCTACAGTTGTAATAACGCTGTGATTCTTAAGATAAAAAATAAGCTTTTGTCATTTCATTGCGAACATCTGTGCCATTTTTATATTAATAACCTCATGATAACGAAAATCGACATGTGAACGGTATACATATGCCCCTTTAAAATCAAGCCGAACTCATTAAAGTTATTCGAAAGTTTCCACCCAGTGCCTCAGCTAATTTAGTTTCAGTTTACTCGCTCACATCGCACAGATGGAGCCTATATGAATGAGAAAAAAATAAACCCGGAGAACAGTCCATATAAATCTCACAATGCCCAAATATCTTTGCTAAATCTCAAAACGAAGAAAAAAAAAGATCGTCACAAACCATTTTGTCGTGAACCGTATATCCACAGTTTATTAAGAAATGTTTACTAAACGGTAGAGTTGTTAACGGGAATGCCCAGTAAACTTTTGTCTCTCAGAAAACAATCGCAGCGCGCGGCAATGTCATCTGAACAATATGTGAAGTTTTAATCCTCCGCCGCGCAAGTAACTAAATTTTACGTAGAGCCCAAATTGGCTCAGATTGCACCAGCAAAACACAGCGTTTTCGTGACAACAGCGGAAGTTCTGACTTAACATTAAGCAAAGAGAGATATGACAGATATCCACCGCTGTCTCAGTCAAATAACTTCGTTCTAAGAAAGTTACGGCATTGAGGGAGGCTCAATTCTTCGACGATGATCTTTGTACGCCCCATCAACCATGTTGATCAAAACCGGGAATAGGTCAACGCCCGCGTCACATCAACCATGCTTGATGTGACGTCACGACACAACCAGCCACGCATGCTCGTAGTTTCGTAGTTATGCTCATAATTGATTTAACGAATATCGGGGCGTCTTTGAATTAAATAAATATCACGTTTGACTATATTCAGGCCCTCCCTACGTGACCAGCGGAAAAAATAACTCCGGATATCAACGGACAATCCCTTTAAATGAACACTCAGGGAGATCTGTTTCTCAACAGACCCGATGCCTGCGTGCGCAACATACGGCTCTGGAGGAGTGCTTTCCCCTTAGCATGCGGTTGTGCTGCAGCGAAGCAAAATCCGCAAAATCACGATGTATAATCCGGGGTTCTCGCTTCACTGGAGTGCATCAAAGCGCGGCAAAAATATTCGAAAGTGCTGAAAATTCGCACAAGCATACCGTAACGATCCTGCCGTATAACGGGACCTGAGCTATCTTTTTTTTTTTTTCGGTAATAACTAAGAAATGACCTCTCGGCGCAACTTCATCATATTGTGGCAAAATGTAGTAGGATTTAACAGGTTAAGTACACTGGCGCAGTTTGACTTAAATGGCACAGCGATCATATCACTGAAATTTTATCAATCAATCAAATTTCGGGGTTTTACGTGCAAACCAACGACGGGCATCTGGCACGCCCCAGCGGAGGACTGAGGATTAATTTGGACCACCTGGGGATCTTTTGACGTGCAACCGAAAGCTCGGTTACACGGCGCCTTCTCCGCAATCAAGAAGTCATGTTAGTGATTCAAATATCTCGTAAAGTACAGGCCTGCAATGTTCGTAAACAATCGCTCAAGAGGCCGCGTTTGGCACTTTTTAGCAAAACAAATATAATGCTATTAACAGTTATACTTAATTTTAACAACCCATCTGCACCCATATTATTCTATTATATTATTAGAATATTTCTAGTTTTATATCATAAGTAATCCATTACCAGACTTAATCACATCAGTAATAATATTTGTCATTGATTTTTTTTTTTTTTTGGTGCGCGAAACCTTTGCTAGAAAAAAGATTGCCCAAACCAAACGTTAGGCCATGAAATAAAAATTTAAATTGATGTAAATACGTAGATGAGCCATCCTCTCTTCGATCTTCTCTGCTATCGACCAGAGGAACCCAGAGGAGCCAGCAAAATGTCGCCATCAGAATAAAAGAGCGGCAAAGTTCTTGGAAATTTCTGATAGTCTGCACGCGCAGAAACAAACAGGCAGGTAAGAACTGAAACATTGCGCCCAATGAAAAGATAAATTACACGTTTCTAAGCTTGGGAGCCCCGCAAAGACCTGACGACGTTGGACTCATAATTATTCCCAGCCCATTACACATTCTCCACTCTCCCCAAACGAAACACGCACGTAGGAAATAAAACAGACGGACGTCGATATCAAACAGACAATAGAGAAAGCCGGTTGACGCGACGGAATTCAATTACCGAGGGTTTAAAAGAAAGAAACGTCGCGGCTATTCCTATCGACAGGCGCCATTCCGTCCCCTCCCCGGCATGAAGAAAAAAAAAAATAAAAAGAAAGCGCCAGCTGCTCGAGGAACAAAGGCAGGCGGGCGTGGGCTCGCATCCCTGCGGCCGATGAATTAAAATCATCGTGGATTATCCGCATCGCTCATCGGGCTTTTTAAACAGGGACCACTTCCGTGGACCAACCAGTCCGCGAAGAGTCAGTGACCATCGACTAATTGCCGTGAGCCAGAGATAGCTTCGCGAGACTGCACACGGCTCGGGATCCATCACGGCAAGGACAACCGCCAGCAAAGATCGTCGAGGAGCGTTAAAGGACAGGCCAGATGGATTGTTTCGATCGTCTACGGAACAGAGACACACACACACGAGCGCACGCAGCCACTTCGTGCGCACGACAGCAGAGTCCACCATCCAGACAATGGATTTACACCATTCCATCTCCGCGGTGGTCAGATCATATAGAAAAGGGCGCGCGTATGTGTTCTTCGAGGCTGCGCGGAGCAGATTGCCTTTGTCCGTGAGTGTGTTCGATGAATGTGTGCGTGTGCACGGCAGCTGCGGAATGAATATGCATCCATCAGGAAGAACCGATGCGCCCTTCGTCCAGTGCTCGGTGGCAACTCTCCGTTTCATCGTAACTTGCCAAATGATGAAGGCCACACTCCCAGAGAGCCAACCAGCGTGTCGGAGGGATACACGTGACTATCTCACTAGTTTCTCGCAATGCTGTCGGAGCCACGAGAGGGCTAGTCTTTTAGGGGGACAAAACCCCGCCTAGGGCACACAGCAGAGGTTTGGAAAGGAGACGAGTTTCTCTTACCTCTCGTCTCCAGCTTCCCTTACGATCTCGCTCATGTAGCTTTTTGTAAGGGCTGCCACGTGCTTCGCCTCCGTCCTTCTGATTGGTTCGGGAGGGCCATAGCCTCCGCCCTTTGCCAAGTTCCGGTGAAAAAAAGTATAGAAACCCTTAGCCGAAGGACGCTTAAAAAGACAGAGAGAGAGCAACAGTTGCAGTGCAGCCACATCGTAGCGTTGTTCTTCTCAGCGCAGCGTAACCAACAGGAAAGGTGCGTCTTACACGTGCACAGATCCGTCTAAAGGCAGCGGGTAATACCCGTACACCTTCTAACCCACCATGCGGTTCTGATCAGTCACGAAACGGAAACGAGAACCAGAAAGCCAGAAGGCACTAACGGGTGACGGCACGAAATAGTTAATGAGTGAGCATACTGCACCCACCATCAGCACGGCGCAAGGCGGGGTTGCGTTTTTGTAAAACAAAACAAAAAAGACCACACCGCCAAAAAAAAAAAAAAGACGGCTCTAGAGCGGCTGCCAAGACTCCTAAGCAATTCCTTCCGATTATATGTTTTGCGCGCGGAGCAGCAGACGCTTCATGGTATACGATCTTCTCTCCTGGTGGCCGCTGCCAGCATGAAGATCCCTGGCTCGTCTTGAGACCCCAGGCGGCTGATGCTGGTGCTGGCGGTCGTCTGCTACGCGCGGCACAAGAAGCCGCCAGCCTTCCGAATACGACTTGGCCTGGCTTGGCTCGTTGCGAGAACTCGCTCCCCCGCTCTGTCTTCAGACGCGCAGAGCCATCCATCATAAGCGGCCCATAGAAATTAGATGTCCCGGATTATTCATTAAAACTCGGCAGGCCTCGCTTCGCCGAGCGTGGTCCCTTACGGAGCAAGACGAGAAAAAACATAAAAGGATACAAAAAAAGAATGAAAAGAACTGGAGGAAGCGTCAGAAGCGTGTCGGCCACTCTTTCCCTTCGCAGTTTTAATTACGCGGCGGCGTTCGCGCAGATAGGACGCACATATATATATATACGTCGTCTGCGTACAGACACGTCTTCAGC